AAAAAGATCTTAATATTCAAAAAGGTATCAGTCAGATAATGTAATGCTTTATCATTTTTATTTAAAAAATGAGCATTTTATGATTGAAAATTATAAGGATTTAATCATGAAATATTATGTAATCTTAGATATTCTAGGATCATATCCTGATCTGTCATGAATGCTGACCTATCAAGATGAGAAATCTTAACATTATCCCAGGTAGAACATCTGCTAAAGATGACATAGGCTTGACCTACAGAGAAGATATTTTGATCTAAAGTGAGAGAAACATTTGGTAAAGTTAAGCCTTATGTCTTGTGAACAATCAGTTCTATAGTGGATATTGAGTTCTGTGACAGTTATTTCCAAATAGTTGAAAGTGATGTGTTTGTTTGTAAATGGTTATATCTATTATCGAACCTCTTACAGAAAATGCAACTTGAAAAGAATGATCAATAAGGTTTAAATCCATAATAATTTCAACTGTTCTATTACAAATTCCTTGTTCAAATAAAGAGTTATTAAGACACATGACACAAGCATCTGGTTGTAATCTTACAGAAGAAAGTAGATTGATTTTACTTTTAAAAGAGCTTTTAGAAAAGCAAAAATCCTATGATGTGAAATTTACTGAATCTACAGCTTGTGATATAAAGAATTTTCCTTCAGAAATAGGTAATATATTACAAATCATTCGATTAATTTGCTGAGCATTTTCTCTAAAGCCAACAATATTAGTAGTGTTAAGAAGTGTATTGATTGCTGAATATGATAAAAATTCAGAATGTTTTTGACTGAGCATCTGCTATATTTCAGCAGATATATTACCTATCTGAACTTTTTGTAATATTTGATAGAATCTGCCGTCAGATTGTTAACGTTGTGGAGTCATTAAGAATAAGGGATAGAATAAAGTTCAGGTCATTAAACAAAATACAGGTTGACCTGTAATAGACAGTAATTGAACAAGGTTACCTATTACAATCACATTTATTCTATCAAATAGGATAGCATTATTGTTGAGATTAGTAAAAAGATTAGATATAAAATCAAAGAGCTGTGCTGAAACTATTGAAATTTCTTCGATGATGATAGTATCAATTGCTTTTAATGATTCATTTAATTCTTTATCAATATATGCGCGTATACAAAAGTTATCATAATTTAAAATAATCTGCAATGCAGAATGGATGGTTCTTCCTTTTACATTTTGAGCAACAATACCAGTAGGAGCCAGGAGAAGATATTTAGATTTTTCTGTTTAAGAGTATTTATCAGCAGGTTTATGATATATGATTTACCTGTTTTTGCAGAATCTGTAATAAAATAATATGGCTATTTGATACCATTATTTAGGCCAAGATATGAGAAAATTATTAATAAAACATAATACTAATCTTCTGGTAGATTAAGTATAGCAGTTTCAGGTAATATGTGAGAAAGCATCTTGATATTTTCCAATTGTAATCTTATAATATCCTGACTTGTTATTGGAAATTCTTGGTATAATGATTGTAGCAATCTGTCTAGCATTTCAGCAAATTGATTATTAAGGTAAGTGATATGTGAGTGACTATTATTTGTGGTTTAGATTTGTAAGGTCGTCAATAAAGATGGTACAGCAATTGATTTCAAATTTACAAAATGTTGCAACATAAGCTAAAATTAGTTGCAACATATG